TACATAAACATTTCACATGCATGCCAGCTTCGATGGAGGTCCAGCCAATGACAAGAGAACAGATAAGTAGATACATCTCACTCTTGTTCCTCTGCCCTGCTGCATTTGAACTATTATAAATGTGCACTATCAAAATTCCCTGCTTACACTGTACTCCTCTGCCGACTTATCTCCCCCTCACCCCCATAGAGTGTGAACATCGCAGCTGGACTGATAATTCTAAAATGCAAATCGCACCATGTCACCTCCCTGTTTAAAGCTCTCCAGAGCATTTTCGTTGCCTGAGACCAAATGGCCCCTGCTCCAGCAAGCCTCCCACTGTCCCAGTATGCTCTTGCCACAGCCTTCAATCAGCCCATGGTTTTCCCAATCTCAGAGTCTTCATTTGAAAACTTGCCTGGCCTCATTTTGCTTGTGTCTCCATCAGACAGTGCTTCTTCAGACACATCTGCCTTGTGGCTTTATCTACATAGGTCTTGCCCTTCATTCTTTATCAGAGTACCCCAATTACCCTCTTCATAGCAACTGTCTCAGTGTATGAATACTTGTTTATGAGTACTTGTGCCTATTTCCTTATCTCTTCCCTCAAAGACTATAAGAGACTGTGTTTATTTCATTCCCTCCTGTGGAGCAAGCTTACAACTGTACTGGACACGAAGCAAGCATAATAGACATTGCTTAAATGAACAAACATATATCATTACACAAATAGAAGATGGCCTTGAAGAAACACATTTGCTGGGGCCCCTGGGTGGCTCAGTGGGTTAAAGCCTCTGCCTTCGGCTCAGGTCACGATCCCAGGGTTCTGGGATCAAGCCCTGCATTGGGCTCTCTGCTCAGCAGGGAGCCTGCTTCCCCCTCTCTCTCTGTCTGCCTCTCTGCCTACTTGTGATCTCTGTCAAATAAATAAATAAAATCTTAAAAAAAAAAAAAAGAAACACATTTTCCTGTGAAAAAATCAAATTTCAGCCTTCTGTCCAATGATTACATGTACCCATGTAGCCTTCTTTCTCTTTGTGCTCTGTCTGCTTGTCCTTGACCTGAGCTGAAGGCAGAGGCTCAATCCACTGAGCCAGCCAGGCACCCCTGCTTGTCCTTTTACCAAGTTTGGGATTCACAGGAACTCAGGGTTTTCCAATGTGGCACAGTCCAAGGAAATGCCAAGTGAGCCTGCTGCTTGTGTTTTGTTCCCAGATTTTTGACCCCTGTATATTTTAAGAGAAATCTAACCTTGATTCATTTATAGATGGTAAAAACGATTTCATCAAATTGTCCTCAATTTTTTTTTTTAATCAAAACCTTCTTTTGCTGACACAGGAAGTCATGTTTTGTCAAGACTAGATGAACTTGAACCCAGAGAGGTTTGAATTCTACTGCAACCTCAAAAACCACAAATATGGAAGAAATTTGAGAAGTCAAATATGTCCTTGCGCCTCTTTGATAGCGACTAACATTTTGTTCATCTTGGGAAGATTTACGTGTTGCCAACTCCAGCTCTACCATAGTTTCTCGGTACAGACACGAGATACAATGTGGGAACTCTGACTTCAGAAGACAGTTTTCACAGCAACCCCTTTTAGCTTTTGAGTTTCGAATGTAACCTTTGAAAACAGCTGGTCCAAATTCCATCTTGTCCCAGACCCACACAGACCTCCTCTGCATTATATTCAGTGTGAGGACAAAGGAAGTTCAGGGAGGAGCACTGAGCAAGATGTGATCTGGCCAAGTGATTACAGCTGCTTTTGCAAGCAGCCACCCAGAATGCAGATTTCACTGTTTTTGTTGTTTTAAAACCTTTGACTTACGGAACTGTATACTTTTATATTCCCTCCACCCCCAAAAGCTGAGACAGAGTGCTTAACGGTCCTGTGTGTTGTCCTACTCATTAAAATAAACCCTTGACAGTCACAAAGCATACCTCCACGTGACCCGGTTAATCCCCCCATACACAAACACTACCATAGCTCTGAATTTCCATCAGTGAGGTAGAGTAAAACATAATGAAATAATGTAGGACTCCTCCGACTTTGAATGAGAATTGTATATACACAAAGTATAAGAGAAAAGAGTTCCAGCCCCGAGTCAGCAGCCAGACAGTCTTCGGTTGACACTGTGGCTCTTTCACCTGTAAATTCTGTTACCTTCACCTCAGTTTTCTTATCTGAAAAGCAGGGCAAAATAAGAGAAACTTCTACATTCGAGGCTTACTGTGAGACTCAAGTAAGTTAATACAGGTAAAATGCTTAGCCCAGGGCCTGGCATACATTATAAATTCACCAAATAGAAGCCAGTATCCTTTTTTTTTTTTTTTCTTTCTGAATGAGAAATAGGTAAGAGCAAAACTGGCTGAGGTAGGGGTGCCTGAGTGGCTCAGTTGTTAAGTGTCTGCCTTTGGCTCAGGTCATGATCCCAGGGTCCCTGGATCGAAGCTGTATCAGGCTTCCTGCTCAGAAGGGGGTCTGCTTCTCCTCCCATTTTCCCGGCTTATGTTCCTTCTCTTGCTGGCTATGTCAAGTAAGTAAATAAAATCTTAAAAAAAAAAAATGAAAACAAACAAAAAACTGAGGTAGAATCTGGCACTTGATTGGGCTCATTCAAGAGCTAATATGCACACGTGGGTATGCGTCTGCCTTGGCATACACAGCTACAATTCCTACAGCAAAATGGTGAGTGGCTTCATGGCATGAATCTTAGGGACTGCTTTCAAAGAGACCTAAACTGCAAGGGTCACATGTCTAGTATTTTTTAAATTTTATGTCCTGGAACTTGAGATATGAAACTAAAATTCAACTACATATGAAAATATTTAGGGGTCAAACTCGAGACTTTCCCTTAAAATTCTATGTTTGAAAGATAGGAAAGAAAGGTGTTCTAATGCACTACTGATGAAAAAAGAAATTGGCACAACCACTTGGGAAAATGGTGCAAAAACATTTGTTGAGTATTAAAGCTTACACATCTCAAGACCTAGTAATTCCATTTTTATATGTTTAACACTAGAGAAACATACCCAAGAAGACAAGCACAAAGTATTTAGAATGGTTGGGGTTTGCAATAGTGAGAGAAACTAGAAAGAACCCAAAGGTCTTTTCTCTTTTAAGTACGAGTTTAATGCCTCAAGAAATTACCCAAAATAGTTCAACAGCTTAGAAATTTGATGTGGGGTTTGCGGGCAGCCTCTATGGTAATTCTGTTACCCAGCCTTGTTTCATATGTGGCTCTACCATTCCTGGAGACCTTGGAATCTTCTGCCAAATCTTTTGCATTCAGCTAGCACACAAGGGATGACAAAGGGCAACAAAGATTTTATAAGATTTTAACATATTGGGCCTGTAAGTGTCAGAGATCACTTCTTTCCACAGAATGCAGTAACCTAAGCCATATCCACTCATGATGTGGTCTGGATACAGGTTCGGGGAGAACAGGAAAACAGGCCTTTAATGAACAACTACTCAGTTTCTCACACAAATGCTAGAAGAATAATGAAAGAATAAAGCAGATCTATGTTTACTAGCAAATGAGCCTTTTAAGACACACGACTGGGTGAAAAAGTAAGCAAGAGACATGTCACAGGATGGGCTTCCTGGAAGCAGACTGTAAGATGGAGTTTACTATTCAGGATATTTATTAGGGAACATTCATGCTATCAATATTTGAGCAAGTAAGATTGGTCAGGGGAAAAAAGTTGAGCTATAATGCAGGCCCAACAGCAGCTTCAGTCACTCCACAGAGAGCTCTGAATCTAGAAAGTTCATTCTGAGTTGTCCTGAGTTGGGCCAACATTCACAGTCTTGCGTTGAACTTGCACAAGAATTGGCACAGTGGTATTAAATGGAACTGGATTAGCTATTAAATGTGGGCTAAGTCCAGAAGGGGTGAGGCTGAGGTGCTTTTGGGCAACTGAGGCAGTCCCTGAATGGCTTGACAGCTGAAGCCTGTTTGCTGACAACATTCTACACGGAGGCAACGAGTCCTTCACTGAAGAGGGATTTGGACAATGTACCACAGTGTCTATCACAAAGCTAAACCCTCTAGTCTCCCATTATCGTAGAATGAAACAAAAGAAAATGCGTACTTTCTCTGACTAAATTTCTGCATAAACACATAGAACAAATCTGGGTGGGTAAGAAGCTGAACTCTTTTTATAATAATAAATAAGCATCAGGATTGTTATGCTCCTTTTGAGAAAAGGGAGAGGATCTGAGATTGAGGGTAAAGGTCAAAGAAAATTTCCTATCTTCCTATCTTCAACATTTTTTTTAAAGTTTTTATTTATTTATTCAACAGAGAGAGATCACAAGTAGGCAGAGAGGCAGGCAGAGAGAGAGGGAGGAAGCAGGCTCCCTGCTGAGGAGAGAACCCGATGCGGGATTCGATCCCAGAATCCTGAGATCATGACCTAAGCTGAAGGCAGAGGCTTAATCCACTGAGCCACCCAGGCACCCCCCCACCCCATCTTCAACATTTTTAAACAAAGAAAATGAATTGATATCTTAGTTATGTAATAGGGATTTAATTAAATTGTATTTGAGATGAACTTATTGTACAGATATAGTAATCAAAACAATGTTCTACAGGAGTAGGGCTTTCCCTTTCTAAAGTATCAGATTAAAATAGCTCTTATTTATTCAATGATTGATTGACTTTCCTTCTCTCTTCTTCCTCCCACCGGTTTATGGCCATTTCATTGCTAACTAATATCTCCATCAAAGAGTGACTTGGTTTGGGAGCCCTGGGTGTGGGGAGAAGAGGAAGGAAACTAGAATCAGCAATTTCCATTACTAGCTAGCAACTCTGGTGAGTAGGTTTAGTGGGGGAAATGCTGAAAATCAGTTATTTGGATTATCTGAGCCTGTCAACCATCCATGTTACACCCTCTTCCCATTAGCACAGACTCATGAGAATTGGCCATAATTGCATTTGCAGTGATGGCAACTGAAACAAGATTGTTTTCAATGATTATGTGATTCTGATTAAACTATTTTTTCTCGTTCAAACAGCATATCCTAACAAAGCACTTTGAGGAAAGAGACATTTCCTATTATATTCTCATCTGTTACCTATCTACCAGTCTTTCGGGAGGAGATGGATAATCTAGATAGAACAAGACAATTTTCCTGGATTTGAAAGGGCATTTCATCTTTTGTTTTGGTCCAGTAATAGAATAGTTTATGTGGGATGCTAGGTGGCAGAAAGGCTTAATATAATCAATAAAAGGACGTGCAATAAATATTTTGAATACTTTTTGAATTCAACATCATTAAATATTTTCATAAGACCAGTGTTATGACTCTATCTTTAAAAATCTGTGTTATGACTGTTTGTACACTAGGTTTTAACCAAACAACTCAAGCCAATTCAAAAGTGAACAGTTTTCTCTCGGAATTACAATGCTGTGCTGGAAAAAGTTTGGAATAAAATTCCAAAGACTAGAGTTCCTATTCAGACCACTATTTATTTCACTTAGTGATTTTTAAGGCAAACCCCACAGACTTTGCCTCAATATGTTCAGTTATAAAACAAATATAGAAGGACAAATCCTAGGCTTAATGTTTTATATATATTTTTGTATTCATGATTTTAACCTGACACTGATATTATTAAGCTACTAAAGGGTTTCACTGGTATCAAACAGAACTGAATTTTGACCTAACCACACAGTGACTGTTTGATATTAGGCAAGTTAAGTGACCTCTCTAAGATTCTATGTCTACATCTTCTTTTGTAAAATGAGGTTACATATAGTTCATTTATTGCTGGATTGCTGTGAAGGTCAAAAGTAAAAAGCATGTAAAGTGCATTGCAGAAAGCCTGTCCATAATAAAAGGGAGTTATCCTCAAGTCTCAGCCATCCCTCGAACAAGACCCACTCTGCTTTTCTCTTTTTCCAAGGAAAAACACACGTTGTAAAATAAGCATTCTTCAAAGACAACCTGAAGACGTTTGGGAATTCCAAAGGCTGAAAATTCCATGAGTTCATAAAAGCTTTCACTAATTCCACTGATCTAAGACAAAAAGGAGAGAGTCAACCGTGTGCCCAAACTCATTTCTGATGATTTCTTCCATCCTACCCTTTCTGGCTCTCTGGGGGTGGCTGTGCCTGTAAAAAACATTGAAGTTGTCAGGAACAGAGTCAGCTTTCAAGATTGGAATGTCAGAGTAGAGTCTTCTTTTCCTCAGACCAGAAAAGGCTTGGTTGGGTAAGAGTTTCCAGGTCTGAGAGGAGACAGAGCTGGGATATGGGAACTGATACAGATAAACAGCACAAACACCTTGACAGAGTGATATATCAAAAGAGACTAAAATAGGGCAGGAACAAGATCATGAGCAAGATGAGATAAGAAACCAAAGACCCATTCTAAAAGCTCTAATGTGTGTTGCAACCAGAGGCGGACTATCCTACAAAGTTCCACATTACATACTTGCAATGGGTAATGGGCACTTACAAAAAGGAGAGAAGCATTTTCCCTTTTATGGCTAAAGTAAAAAGTATAAGAAATAGCTCCATTCAGAAGTACAAAATATCATCATGTGGCTCATATATTTCAGGTGAGTTAGACTGAGATGATTATATAATGGGTTGGTTTTTCATAGAACAAAACCTTATTTCTAAAGGTGCCCAGAGACAAGATGGGGACAGATATTAGAAGTTTCAGGTGCTGTCTTTTGTTATAAGTAGGCCATTAAATAATGTAGACTTGGACACTGAACCAAAGAAGGGCGTTCTCTTCCACACTGGAATGTGAGCTCCAAGGAAGCTTGTCTGTTCTGTTCATTGTTTTATTCCAAGCTCCTAGAATATGCTCAGCCCTCGATATGTATCTGCGGAATTAACTAACTAGCTGTGAGGTCTTAAGAAGAAACCAGTCCATCTGTGAAATGAGGGGGGTGGATTAGACATTCTCTAAGATCATCCTAGTTTAAAATTTTTACGCTTGTATCAGAAACTACAAATGAAAAAATGGTCTTTATATTTTTTATCTCTATTACCTGTGTCCCTTCTTCAATCAATGTCTGTGTGATCTATTCCAGCATGGCTAGGTGTAGAAAAATACCCCTGGTGAGATACAAGGTTAAGATATCTTCAGTATTCTAAAGATATACTTTGTTTACTTTTAAAGAGTTATTTGCTTATTTCCATATGTATTAGAAAAATATAATTAATTTTCCTACTCTATTTATGATAATGTTGTAGAGTTCACCTTTCAAATAAAGTTACAGGCAAGTCAATTTAGAGAAAATATTTTAAGTAAATTATAATGCAAGTGGTTCACACCCAAACTCACAAAACGTGGGACACAAGCAACTGCTGTTTGGGGAATAGTCATCTTGAGACATCAGTACTTAAGGCATATATCTCAAAACCTACTTTTGATTAGTCCTCTCAAAAGGAATGAATCATATCTAAAGTAACCTTTAGCACTACATCCCTATTTATGGTAAAATAACTATCTTAATTGTACTTTTAAAAAATATACATGTTCTTCTCCTGGACTAACTGCTACTGAAGAAGCCATCTACCATAAACAACTAAAAAACCAAAAACATATATATATATATACAACCATAGTTTTCAGACAGTGGACAATAGTTAGGATAAGACTATGATTCCTGTGAGAAAGGAAACAAATGAGATAAAGACATAATAGATTTTTTTTTTTTTTTCCTGGAGATACTTTCCAGACTGTTACTCAGGGAAGGGAAACCCAAGTAGAACATGGGGCCTCACTAACTAGAGAAGACAGAGTTTAAAGACGGAGTTACCTGAAGTGACTGGAATTTTGTGGGTAAAGTTCTAGAAAGGAAAGAGATATTTAGGAAAACAATTCAAAAAATATGCACAAAGTCACCTTTGAGCGGTTGGCTGATGATTAAACCAGATAGAACAATACTCCACAAGGTAAAGAACAACAATTGGAGAAAGAACAATAACCTAACTTAATGGTTATCTCCTATTGGGTTGAACTGTCTTTGAGTTCTAGCCAGTCACAGAGGAGAGACATCATGGAATCCATTAAGCATTCAGTAGAAACTCTACAATGGTCATCCATCAGTAATGATACAAAAGTATCCCCAGAATAAAGACTACTTTATACCTTCCCTAACACATCTTAAAAACAAGTCTCAAAAAGATTAAAGTAATCCATAAGAAATTTAAATGATCAAAGAGCAATGCTCTTTAAAGGAACATCATAAAATCCAGACATTCAATGATACAACATTAAGAATGCACAGCATCCAATCCAAAATTACCAGACATGAAAAGGATTTGGAAAAAACCATTTTTCCATAGGCAGGAGAAAAATTAGGCAACAGAAACAGACCTAGAAGTGACAGAGAAGATGTAATTAGCATATACAGACTTTAAAATAGCTCTTACAGTTTATTTAAAAAACATGAATACAATAAGAACAATGAAAACTATTTTTTAAAAAATCAATAAAACTTCCAAAACAGGAAAATATAATACTTAAAGTAAAAAATTCACTAGTTGTAACAGCAGTTTGATCTGCAGAAGTAAAAGTCAATGAACTTGAACAAAGAGAAGAAAGGATAGTGTTTCCCAAAACTGGTGCTGCAATAATCAGATGTCTGTATTGAAAAATATCAACTTTGATCCCTACTTCCTGCCACATACAAAAATAAACTAGAAACAGATCACAGAACTGAATGTAAAATTTAAAAGTATAAAGCTTTATGACTGTGTAGGCAAAGATTTCTTAGGGCACAAAAAGTACTAACCATTAAAAAAATTAATAAACTGGATTTCCCCAAAAGTAAACATTTTGCTACTGAAAAACACCATTTAAAAAAGAGGTCAAGTCAAAGGCTAAAAGAAAATATTCATAGTACTTATCTTAAACATAAGTTTTTACCCAAAATATAAAAAGAACTGCCATAACACAATAATAAAAATACAACCTAATTTTTAAAAAGGGCAAAAGATTTGAACATATACCTCACAAATGAAAAAAACATGTAAGTGGCCAAGAAACACTGAAGGCTATTATAAATCATCGTCACCATAAAAATGTTATTTTAAACTACTCAATATCCACTAAAATGGTTGAAAAGGAAAAAAGAGAAATGCTAGTAAAACTTGGCAAGAATACAGATCTGAAAATGTCACTCACTGGTTGTGAGAGTGTAAATAGCATAAATATCTTAGAACACACTTCAGTAGTTTCTTATAAAGTTAAATATAAACTTTTAGCATATATCCCGTCAACTCATCTCCTATGTTTGAAACCAAAAAAAAAAAAAAAGGAGTGTACACAGTCTGCTAGTATAGTTCTATATGAATGTGTATTGATATATACGATATGAATGAATCTCAAAAATATTTTGCTGAGTGAAAGTAGCCAAATGCAAAAGAGTACATACCACATGACTCCATTTGTATAAATAGGTAAGTCTAGTCTATATGGATAGAAATGTAACAGCAGCTGAGGTTGGGCTGGGAAATTGGGCAGTGTCAGAAGGTAATATTTCAGTGTGCTGGAAATCTCCTGTTTCTTGGGGCACCTGGGTGGCTCGGTTGGTTGAACATCTGAATCTTGATTTTAGCTCAGGTTATGATCTCAGACTTGTGAGATGGAGCCCTGCTTCTGGCTCCACGCTCAGTGTGGAGTCCGGTTGGCATTCTCTCTCTCCCTCTCTCTAAATAAATAAATAAATAAATACTCTTTTAAAAAAAATATTTTGTTTCTTGACTTGGGTGTTAGTTCCACCTGTTTAGGCATGTATCAAAATTCATTGAACTAATTACTTAAGATGGGTACATTCATTTTGTAACATATAAATTATACTTCAATAAACTTGAGAGTATGTTTCTTTATATACGCATGGGGCAAAGTTATTTTGATTTCTGCCTATATATCCTTTGTGTCATATATCTTTTTGCTAGTTTCTTTTGTTTCAGATTTATGCTCTTCAATTTCTCTCCTTTTCTGTTCTTGGTAAGTTCTAGCCACTACCCCCAGCATGTTGCATGACCAACATAATAAGTGATTGCTACTGTCATGCGTACAAATGCTTTCAGCTGTACAAAAAGGAAACTTCACAGACTATTCCCAATTAAGATGACCTACTCATGAACGTTTTGAGGTAAACCATTGAGACCTGCAGATCTCTAATCTTCTAGCTCATGTTAATGCCATGCTGCAGATCTTTAGCAACTCCACTTTCTTCTTCTAAACACAACAGACTAAGGATGTTATCCCGAGTCTGTGCTCCCGAATGCCATGCATTGGTGAAACGAGGCAGGAAGAAGCATAAAAACTCAACGTGCTTTTCATACTCTGAAAGCCTCTTTGGACCAAAGATAATACAAATTATGGATGTTGTTGCCAAAAACATCAGATTTTTGGTTTCAGCTCATGATTCAGAAGCTGAAAGTGTCAAGTGGGTGACAGTATCCAGGAATAATTCCGTCCAATAGTCTTTGTAGAGTAATGTACACAAAGAACATCAGGAACACCGAACAGCCAGAAAACAAAAGCACACTGTCAGCTAGCAACAGTAAGAGAATCGTAACAGATGTAATGTATAGTGTTACTGTTGATGAAGTTAGTAACCTTTAGTAAGGAGATGCAGAAGCAACAGCGGCCAGAGAGTTTACAGCTGTAGAAATTTAAGTGGGAACTGACCAGGAAGTCAGGTGTAAAGAGGTGCTGGCAGAATATCTAAACCAGATGAAAAGTATTTAAGGTTGATTATAAATAAGGGACCACAAAGGTAGTATTAGAATTATTTAAGTTCCTAGGAAAACTGCATGTTTACTAAAAATATAGCAAATTTAGAGAATTATACATTGATATATTTCTGGAAGGGACTTTGGGTATTTAAACTGAAGGGACTTTGGGTATTTAAACTGTAGCTTTGAAATTGCAGAAGGGGAAAATATATTTTTAGAATTCAATGCATGGTCTTCTATTTATCTGTGCATCGTCTACTTCTCCACTTAGATTTTATGGTGTTATTGTTGAGATGCTTATCATAGAGCTACTCAATTGGACCATGGTTTATCGATGTTCAGAGTTAATCAACATTCTAGATAAGTGATAAGACCTCAGGGAAAAAACACATTAAAGTACGCTCTAACACAAGGAGTTAACACCCTTAGGAATATATAGCTGGTAAACAAAACAGGGAGGCCATATTGCTCAGTGAATTCAGTGAGATCTAATGGGAATTTCAGAGTAAATTTATTTTTAAGATGTGTAGGCAGCTTCATAATTCAAAGTCTTTTTCCTATTCTAAAGGCAAATCACCCCCACCACATCTTTTCATTTAACACTGATCAATTTGCTTAACGGATTAGGAAGGGAAAAGATGTACCGCAAGTAAAGTGATCCTTCCCACCTTTCAATTTTCCATTTATAACTCCTTTCACAGCCTCTTACAAATCCATATTACCTCTGCTGTCACAGCTTAAGTGTATCTTTTGGCTTTGGGAATTATGGGGGTATTCAGGAAGCTCACTTTCTATGGTAGCAAAACACCTCTACTAACAAAGGGTTTATCAGAAATGGAAGAGGACATCAAGCCAACAAAGTGATCAGGTAACTTGGAGTACCTTCAGTTCTTAGCGCAGCAGAATGAGGTACATCTATATCCTCAAACATTCCATATGCCTATTTCAAAATGTTTACTTTAAAAGTGCTAATAAATAAACCTTGACTTCTTACAACTTTTTGCTATTTATCCCCTTACTTACCCTCGTAAGTATATTAAGTTAATA